GGCAAATACTGCCAATCCAAGATACAGAGGAACCAACCTTGAATGCATTTTGCTTGATAGTAAGATTGCACAGGAGTGTGATACCGGAGTTTTGGTTGACGATGATGGCACTTTGCGTGCATTTTGGTTAACTTACTTCGGTGAACAATCAGAGAACTTGTCCAATGTTATGTACAGAATGGCCTTGGATGTGACAGACATACACAATATCATCGAATTGCTCAAAAGAAATGAAATTCCTCAAGACTTGCGCTTATTGGAGGCGGAGTTTACCGCCATGACACTTTTCCTGGGCAGAACTAGAGGCGTCCCACAGGAATGGATCGACCGTTTCGAAAAGGAAAGTTATGATGAAGTTAAGCTCCTTACTGTCTACAGAGTCTGGGCCCCTAGACAAGGTGCGGAACGTTGCCCATTAAAGTTTTCCGACATCGTTTTGACTGTCAATGACAAGTTGGTAACAAGTATGAGAGATTTGGAGCCAATGTACACAAGCAAGGAGTTGAAGTTCAAGATTGTGCGGGAGATGCAAGTGATGGACTTGGTTGTTCCAACAGTGGAAACAACCAGCATGAACACTAGTCGAGTGGTGTTTTGGTGTGGTGCTTTGCTTCAGGAACCCCACCAATCTGTCCGTCAACTCATGGAGAAAATTCCATCAGAAGTGTATGTTGCCCGTAAGAGTGCTGGTGGCCCAATGACTCAATATGGTATTTCAAACAGTGTCTTCATAACGCACGTGAATGACCAAGAGACGCCAGATTTGGAGACTTTTGTGAAAATCACGAATGACATTCCAGACAACACTTATGTTAAATTAGGGCTTGTCTCGTATGATCATGTACCCGGTGCTGTTTCGATCAAGATGAATTACCATTATTTCCCAACCCAGGAACTTAAAAAAGGCGCAGATGGATCATGGCACGAGATTGAACACACCAAGGAATAGGTTATGATAGACTAGAAATGTACGTAGTCAACGGCTTCAAGCTTCATGTACGGATGTAAGCACATGCAGCTTCTAAATCTCTGTTTACTTGTAAGTCAAGCATCATCTACCTGGATACTTCTTAAAACCTTTAATGCTATGTACAAGTATGTATCGTTGTTCAGCACTCTAGATAGCGCTTGAGCTTTTTCAAGTGGCCCCCTTTATCATTTACGGAAACAAATGAGTCCAAATGGCGGAGAGTATTCGAACTGAAGTTACCGTTACCATGGTTTCTGCCTGCCTGCTTTCTCTTATAGCCTGTTCCAGTTTTGATGAATCTTTTCGCAGCAGCCTTATGCGTTTTCATTTTGTTTCTAGTCTGGATGAAGGTGTTGAGGGATGGCCTGTTGCCAAACACCAATTTGGAGGCACTTTGAAAGAAGGAGTTCATTGGTACCTTACTTTAGCTCTTGTATGTGGAAAATCTGCAGTAGGTAAATGCGCGCCGCACGACTTCAGTATTTTCAACAAACCTTTATATACTTGATTACAGTGAACTTTACAGGGGGATATTAAAGCGGCGAAAGACATTGCAAATTCCTTGCATTGCTTCGATACAATCTAAGGATTCTAACGTAAGTTCGTAAACATTCTTGGTTCTCGTAACTACATGTGTTCAGCAAAGTAGCGCGGCTCGTCAAAAACATGGTAACGATGTCCTCTGACTCCTTCTCCCCTGAGGATTTGGGGCATTCTGTATTCTGGGTCTACCTCACTCTCGTCCACGTAGTGGTTTCCGTAGATGAAATCTTCGGGGTATGCTTTTTGTTCATCGGTGAGAAACTTGAACTTCGCCACTTGAAGTTCAGTGTCAGTAATGGTTGACCGGGAAATCCGAGCATAAGCAACCTTCTTGAGATCACGGAAGAGAATATACTCACACCATCTGTCCCAATCAGTACTGTCGATATCATGCATTCGCGAGTATTCGCTCACGTAAGTATGGTAGTTACCTTGTAACGGCTCGGTCACTAAGTAACTGAGCAAAACGAGAGGCCGGTTTGAGCTAGCCATGATATCAGCCACTCCCAAACTTTGCAAACGGCGATCTTCGACATCCTCTTCCTGTCCAGAATGGAACACAACCACATCCACCATTTCCCCGTAAATATCTAACGTAGCATGAATTGCCGGTGCCAACTCACCTACTGGGGAAGGAAGCAAATGATGCGTAGAGTTAATGATGGGAAATTTAGACAAAAGCGCGGCGCCCCAAGTATGTTTGTTGGGGCCAGGTCCGTAATCGACGTACATTCCCAGTCATCTGCTATCTTTTGAGTAAAGTCCCTGTTTCCTCCTATGAGCCTCTCGGTATCAGTTTCTAATAGGCCAATAATGTCGACTTCCGCGTCTCGGAGTAGGTCCCTCATCCTCGTTTCACTGGACCACATATCGTTATCCAACCCAAAGTGTACACACCAAATACCAGCCGTAAATGACTGGGAGGATTCATGGAATGGCTTGAAAGGCGCAGTTGGGTATCTGTTGATGAAAGATGTAACAGATAAAGCTGTCAAGATCGTAAGGATTTTGGTCGTCAGCAGGAGGAGTTGTGAGCCTCTCACTTCCAAGCGAGTGATATTGGAAGAATTTCTGCGCAAAGTGTAATTCACACTGTTCAACAAGAGGAGAGCTACCGAAATTCCCAAAACAATATCGGTTCTTTCTCTCAACAAATATCCTCCTGGAACAAAGGCATACGCAACAATCCACACACTTGCTAAAGAGATGATTATGCAGAAAAAGAATGACAATGAAAATAAGACGGAGATGTTATAGCCGGCCACAGACTGACCAACTAAAGGAGCCAATGAGGCAAGATAGTAGGTGAACATAAGCGATCCTCCATATCCAATCCATCCCTTTGAATTGTATAAAATGAATGCTCCTATGGCGCCGGTAAGGAAAAACACAGGTTTAGATACCACGTTCGGATGAAACTTAATCGAAAAGATGAGCCCAAGAGCAAATGCTGCAAAATGAGGTAAACCGCCGGTTAATGGCAATGGTCCTCGAATCGGATAGCCTTCCCAAGTCCAGTATACCATTGTAGACGAATCGCTGAGGAAAGCTTGAATGCAAAACAAATAACTTCCAAGCCCCAAAGAGGCAAGTAAAAGAGATCCACCTTTCCGAGTGATTACTTCCGGAACTGATTTCGACCTTCTCGTGAAAAAAGCTGCAGCTAGTCCCACAAAGATCGCATATTCGTTGTACCCGCCATTCTCTTTGTGCATGATGGGCCAAAATGGATTGTTAGAATGGCACATGAATTTGAACACGGATGTAGCCAACAACCCAAGCAAGAGCGAGATCCATAATGAGGTGAACTTTTTGGGGCTATTGCTCAAAGCGCCACACTCTGCAGCAAACCCGATGGTAGCGAATCCTGTGCCTGCGGTAATGGTCAAAAGTCTCTTTTCCGGATCCTCAACTTTATAGGCACCTAGACCAAGCAAAACAGTGAGAATTCTTGCCACGCAAGGGAACTTAATAAACAAGCATTTTAATGGAGGCAATGCGGTTAAGAGAGGGGCAACAAACGTGATGGCTATTGATGCCTCATATCCAGAAATGCCCATATTCCATAATGGGAAATACCAGACACAGACCATAAGAGAAGTTATTGTGGTCCAGAACATAAATGAGTTGATTGTATTGACCGAAAACTCCCAGAACGAGAAGTCTTCAAGGGAGGCGATCTCGTCTTTTTCACTTTTTTGCTGGATAATTTGTGGTGTCGTTTTAGTTTTTTTGAGCTCTACTCTTGAGCCAGACAACTGTATTTCAATCTGAGAAAAGTCCATAAAAGACCACAGATCAAAAGCCACATCAAGAATTATGAGAGCCCATTCAAAGTAAGCGTAACGGGAGTAAGCCCCTGCAACAACATGCACTTTGTGTTGAATAAAGAAGTACACTAATGGAATAAGAGTCAGGAAGAAAGTAATCGCAGTTAACAGACGTCCCTTCTTTACTTTTGAACCCTTAGGTGATAAAACTGAGACAAGAATTGTCCACGGAACAGTTAAGATGATATATGCGATCATGAAAATGTCGTGCCAATCATGATCATCGGTTGAAGTGATATAGACCCAGCCTCCACAAGTAAACGTCCTGGTGATTCCGGTGGCAAGAAGTACGTATGAAGCTACCAGCAGCTGCTGGTGAAGAATAATAAAGTTGAAAAACACCAAGAGGAACCGAGGTCCAGCCGTCAAAGCAATGAGAACCTGAAATAGCGATCTCTCTGGATAACGGTCTCCAATTGCAGCAGACACACTAGGAAACCATTCGTCAGGATAGCCATACGATGCATTTTGGACGATCTTGTGATAGTGGAGCCAACATCCCACTATCAAGGCGGAGAAAAAGGCAGAATAAGCGCATAAGCCATGAGCCACTGCAATCCATGAAGCATTCAAGGAGCAGATATAGTCATTCTGTGAATTGATGTGCGTTATTCTCTCCTCTTTCAGTTCTTTCGGATTTTCAATTGTCTCGGAGGACATTCTACTGGGCTTCGACGTTCACGACACAAGATCATGTGCTGATCATAGTGAGACTTATGGTGTACGGGTGTAATTGATGATTGATCATTTACGTGGACTATATGGGTTTGTGCTTTGAAAGAACCACTGAACTTGAAATAAACGAATAGAGATGTATATGAAGGTATAGAATTTCTTTTGACCTTCTTCTTATCTCCACGGATCTTTATTGGCCCCTGGAACAGCGCGTTTCTTAAAATATGAGGTAACAGACACGGATGAGGAATCAGGTACTTGCATCACAGTAGTAAGCAAGCCAGGTTTGTAGCCGCTGTAACGTCTCTTCTTCCAGTACCTGGTTTTTCAATTCTGTGATAGATGTATTTTAGCCTTAGACCCACAAGAAAGTCGTGTGCGCGCCAAACGGAATGCACCAGTAAAAATTCACCTTTTCGTAAAGTGTTCGACTCCATTACAACATACACCATGGGTATGTGCTACCTATTATCAATCCGAATGATTACTCGCTGAAACAAATACTAACGTAATAGCCACATACCAAAATCACAAGAGAAATGAGTTAGTCTCTTTTGACGACATCAACTATGAGAACTTCGATCAGGTGCAACAAGCTAGAACCTCTATGATGAGAGAACAATGGATCAGAAACGAAGAGTTGAGGATCACCCACGATGCTTTAAGAAAATGCAAACAATACCATGGCCCAGATGCTCAAAAAAACTGCAGACCGTTGATATTGAAGTACATGAAGATGATCGAAACCTACCCATTGCAAGGATACTTGGGATACCAAAAGAACGACCCTTCTCAATAAAGTGTATATTAGACTTTTCTCCGGCCATGATTCTCTTACAATGGCCGCTTAGCATAGCTGAATAAGCAACATATTATTTATGGATTTTGTAGGTACTTCGACATGATTGGAATTTTTGGCTGTCTTTCTTTTTTGAAATATGGCCCCTGACATCTTTGTCGTACAGTTTCGTATTCAGTCAAGTGCTACCTTTGTGTTTTTGTTTGTTGGTTCTTGCTCTTGTTTTTTTTTTTTTTTGTTAACCATTTATGAAGTATCTCGATATTGACTTTGCAGCTGCAAAAGTAAAAAGTGGTGACGAGAAGGACAATCTACGCAGAACTACCCGGAGTTCACAAAAGTTCTAATTCGTTTACGTGGCACAGTACTTTAACGAACATGTTAAATTACCCTAAGTAATAAGAGTAGCATTTGCGCCATACATTATACCATAAAAAACCAAAAGGCCAATCTACATCTTGACTTACTCCCCTATAACTCAACACAAATAACCGATAATCAAAGAGAAAAATATGATGAGGCATAACGATCCAAATCAAACAACAACAATGATTTTGAATGATAACAGGAAATTTCGAATTGAGAAGAGAGAACTTTCAACTTTGAAAATACCACCGTCCTTGAGACTGATCCCACCAATGCTAGGTCGCGAAGCCTGCACGCAGAAAAGTCCACTTCGGACGATAACTGTGGCCAATGAGCACATGGCCTGAATGACCAAAACGTTTTCTATCAAATATCCACACAAGAAACAATTCAGTGAAAGGTACTTAGATAGTAAGAATGAACTGAGCTAGGAACGTAAAGTACAACCATCTGTAGTCTTCAGTGTTCACGTGACTGCATCTCTGGGCCAATCAAGTGCGACTTCTCCCCTCGGGCCCGGAACGACCAGGCTCAAAAAAAGAGTTGAAAATCTACACACGTAGTTCCAACAACTCCAAACAGATTTGCAATATGTTCCGTTTAGGTGCTTCTCAGGTTGCCCGCGCTGGCGTTAGGTATGTAACCACAGCCCATTGAATATATTTTCACACTTTTTGATCACCAACAAGTACTAACTGTCCCAGAAACTATGCCACTTTGAGAGAAATCGAAATGCGTCTTAAGTCTATTAAGAACATCGAGAAGATCACCAACACCATGAAGATTGTTGCTTCGACTAGATTGAACAAGGCCCAAAGAGCTATGCAAGCTTCCAGAGTTTTCAACGAGTCCGACACTGAATTCTACAAGAACACTGAACCAGAGAAGGAAGCTGACGCCAAAACTTTGTTGATTGTCATCTCCTCCGACAAGGGTTTGTGCGGTTCCATCCACACTCAGATCTCCAAGGCCGCTAGAAGAAGAATTGAAGAGTTGAACGGCAATGTCGATGTTGTTGCTGTTGGTGACAAGGTTAAGGCTCAATTGTCAAGAACCCACGCCGACCTCTTGAAATTGGCCTTTTCTGGTGTTGGTAAAGCGGAGCCAACTTTCCACGAGGCTGCCTTACTTGCTGATGAGATTTCTACTTTGGGCAAATACGAGAACACCGAAATTTTGTACAACAAGTTTGTCAGTGGTGTTGCTTTCGAGCCATCCAACTTTTCTGTGTTTGCTGCTGATGCCATTGAGAAGGCTCCTGGTTTGAGCAAGTACGAGTTGGAGTCTGAGGGCACTGCTGAAACTTTGTCTGAATTTTCCTTAGCCAACTCTCTTTTGACCGCTCAAGCTGAAGGTTATGCTTCTGAAGTTTCTGCAAGAAGAAATGCCATGGACAATGCTTCCAAGAACGCTGGTGACATGATTAACTCTTACTCTATCTTGTACAACAGAACCAGACAAGCTGTCATTACCAACGAATTGGTGGATATCATTACTGGTGCTTCCTCTTTGGACTAAGCTTGCTGAGATCGGGTTTGTCTTCATATATTCGCCAAATTTCTCCTCATTACCATGGAAAATGTCTAAGTTTTCTATGCCTTACAAGTAAAAAAATACACGCTGATGCTCGAAGCTTGCTAGGTTTGTAAAATTATTTGCTGGGTTTGTTGACAACAGTCATACGCATCCAGCTGAGTCTATTCAATCTGCCTTTACTTCCCCATAAATTAAACGGACAAACATCATTGCTGTTAATACTCCAACAGCCCCACAAGTAATACCAAGAGAACACGAAACAAGTGCCATGTAAGCAAAGTAAATCAAAACACTGACAAAATCACTCATGTGTAAGTGAAACACAAAGTAGAATATTGAATAACCATAAACATACCATCCAATACTTGAGCCAATCCGGAAGCATAGCCATTGCCAGTTTGGATTGTTAAACATCGCCAAAGAGAGATATGTTCCCACAATTGCAGATTCTCCAACAACGGTAACCAACAAGGTTACCGTCAGAAGAAGGAATCCGTACATGTAGAAAAAAGTGGTCTTTTCCAACCAAACCGAGTTGAAGATGAACAAAAGATCCACGTACACAATGCCGAAGGGAATCAAACCAAATGCAAGAACACTGACCACTGGATTCATCACGATGGAACGGTTCCCACTAGATTTTGCTACCGATGTCTTATCGGGAATATGAGTCTTCATAATGAATGATTTGGGTGAAAATTGTACTCTGTTCCCTAAAGTCCCTCCTAGCAATCCCAATGGGAGTTCAATGATAGCAAACAAAAGGATGAGGACAACAATGGTTCCGAAAGGCAAGGCATTCGAAGATTCTTTGGCCCAAACGAACAAGTTGATGAATAAAACGACCATCAAGATTGTGAATGGCAACATCCCCGAGTAAAGGCAGGACAAAATGAGTACCCGTCGACGTTGATACAACGTATTTGGATCCTCGTTTGACAAAATCTTGTGAATGATAACACCGGCGTAAGCAGAAACAAAGCCAGAAGCTAACAAAAAAACAACAGAACAAGTGAAAAATGCGCCCTGGTGATTATTGAAGAAAGCGTTTGCAGAGGAGCCTTGACCAAAAGTGAGCTTAGAGTTTAAAACGAAAATCACCATGACGCCAACCATGGCGACTAGACATTGCAAGCCATAAGCTATCAATATGCTTAATGGAAGGACACCTACCGGGCGTTTCATAACTTCATAAACCAATTTCTTCCACAGACCAGAGGAATTGATATCGAAGTCCGCTTGGGACATAGGTATAGTTGGACCTGATTGTAAATCGGTTCTCAAAAGTCTGAACATGACTATAGCGACAACTAAAGTCACAAGACAAACAAGAACCAACAGGTTTACTAAGGAGAACCAGTGAATCTTGTGACTAGCAGCACTGTGATCATTTTCATAGTACAAGTCCCATCTATTCGCGTGGGTGACGGAGTTGTCTTCACGCCAATAGACAGCATATGTATATGAGATTAAATTCTTCTCCGGAAGATCTTTTTGAGATTCTTTCAGTGACATTAGTCTGTAATTCTGGTAATCCTTCGTTGTACCTGGACAATGGTGATCGCTTACACTTTTTGGATACACCTCAAATCCCACAATAGTGTGCTGTCCATCCCTTTCAGTATGATAGCGAATAACTAGTGTAACATGATTGTACAAATAGGAAATATCATCTTTAACGAATCCCAAAGGAAAGCCTGCAGCGTAGTATTTTGAGATGTGATTTTCGCTGGTGAAAGTAGTGGCTCCAGGCAAACCATCAAGATTCCAATGGACAACATAACCATCTCTAATTAAGCGATCCGCCCGACCGATACCCCCTCTAGTAGTTGTCATATCGCAGAGGCGAACACAAGGTCTGTCCATCATAAATTCAAGATTGTAGTTGGATTCCCAAAAGCGATCACCACGTAAAATCTCTCCCAACAGCATGCTTTTCGCTTTCTTAGTTTTATCATGGCAGACAAATGGAAGATCGTGATAGTGGAATGGTAATTGTGTATGGTCGCTCTCTATTTTATTCAATAGAAGTTCCACTTTGTCTCCTTTACTATACTTGTTTGGTGCAAACAAGTTTAGTGCAGACGAAAGGGATATAAAAAAAAGAAAAGTAACCGCCAACATGAGCGGCAGGAGTGTCCAGCAATGGTCTTTAAGGGTAAATGAGTGGAATGGAAGGTGAATATGGAACACTATGAGATCGAAGTCGTCTGAACAAAACACTCATCTACTATATGCAGTGCACGCAGTTCAAATTGGATAACTGTGATCCCTTCGTTGCATTGGAGTCACCAAATGTGATCACTCTTTTTTTAACATCTCCATAGCTTCTCGGATTAGGTAATTTCCTTTGGGATCTAAATTAAGCGCAATAGTGAATTCCCGTATAGCCAGGAAACGATCGTTTTGAATGTTGTAGAGCTGCCCCAAAAGAAAATGCACCGAAGCTTCATTTGGTGCCAAGTCCTTGACAAGCTCGAACTGTTTGAGTGCTTGGGGAAACTGTTGCATGGAAAAGAGTAGTTGTGCCTTTTTAAATATGGGCAACGCACTCAATGGTTGAAGTCGGTTGGCAAGCTCGTATTGACGCAAGGCTAATGTTTTCTTACCCAATTTTTCTAGTACCATACCCACACAGCAAATGAGGATTATATTGATTGGATTTATTGCAACAGCATTACGGAAGTGATAATCTGCCTTGTGATATTCTCCCAAATTAATGTATACCATTCCGATACCGTAAAATGCGTTGTAGTGACGTGGATCAAGTAAAAGCGAAAAACGGAAACAGTCCAATGCTCGTTCATAATTGTCAGCTCCGAAATACTCATGACCCTTAAGTGTATGTGCATACGTGAAAGAAGAGTCTAAAGCAATAGACTTATTGAAGCATTTGATGGCTTCGTCAGGCTCGCGATTGAGGGAAAACATGTTGCCCATAACACACCAGGTGATTGCCAGTTTCGAGTCAATATCATGGAGCTCATTGGCCAAGTACACAAGTTCGGTTTTCTTGTGGAGGTGCCAGAGTAAAGTGGAGTAAAACTCCATATCCTCGAGTCGGGTGCGATCAAGTTGGCGCAAACGAATAAAAAACTTCTCCGACTGTTTATAATTAACAATTTCGTAATGTAAGCGGCCAAGCTTGGAAAGCACCCATGGCGTATCACGCTCGTTCTCTGGAAGCGACTCAAGAATACGAATTGCCTTGTAACAGTCATATTTGCTGAAACATTTAAACAGCTTCGCGAACAACATGTAGAGGCGGCGCAAAAAAGCATCAGCAGAATCCACTTCTTTGGATACACCAACCACGGGTTCCACATATGGCCGTTCTGATTGGATGGCACGTTTGAGGCCCCGATTATCAGGATGTGCTAAGTCAGGCTTCTTAGTGTACGAAAACAGGCGCGAGCGAGTGCGGGGTCCTATGGCCGGTCGAAGTGGTTCAATCTCGCCTGTTGGACGGCGAGAAAGCGGATCTGGAGCACGAGGTGTTGAAACATCAGCCAAAGTATGTTGCCGCGGCGTAGTGGCAAAGGGATTAGGCACTGCCGGAATGTCCGGTTTGGAGAAAAGATCTTCTTGATTCCCTAATGACAGTAGTAGAGGTCCGTTTACAGAAAAACGTTGGGTTGGTGCTTTGTATAGAGATTTGACTGCCACTTTCACGCCCATACGCAGAAGTTCCTGGAACGCCTCGAAATCAAAAGCGTTGAATCGAAGAGCTTCTTGGTAATTAAGTGCACTATTTTTGAGATCACCTTGAGCTTTGCACAAATCACCCAAAAGATGGTAGATGGCTGACGCGTCAGGATAAATCAGCCGAGAAACTTCGTAGTTGTGTCGTTGCATCGAAAGCAGGAAGAAAAAAGGCGGCTGCTGGCCCAGTTTGTCATCAAATATACCGTTTTCGTGTTCGCTCTCATGCTCTCTGAGGCGGTTTTCGTTGTACAAATGGGCAACACTGACTAAGCGAAAGACACCTTCTTTGTAGCGCTGCAAATGCAAGCACAGCCGGGCGAAGATGTAAGCACAGCCCAAGTGTTCAATGTCTCCTTCTTCTAACGTGTGATTGTACACTGCTTTGTACTTCCCTTGCCGATAGAGAGTTAGCGCATATAAATATACTGAATCTGGATCTTCAGGCGCTGCGGCGAGTAGCCGTTCACATGCAAACTCAGCATTCTTGAAGTTGAATGTGTCAAGCGAATGGATCACAATGGATCGGAGCTGCTGAATTACATAGAGTGGGTCAGGCTCCATGACAAAGGAGTTCGTAAAGCGTTGGTAGTGAGGTATTACAATAGAAAGCGGAAAGATTGGACTAGAGTACTTTCTGGATCAACGGAACGCAGTTGCGGAGGCTAGACGGGAGACACAAAACGCTATTGTTGTCTTACGTTTGAACTGGGGTGTGCACATAGCATACGTTTGCACCCACACTTACAACAGTTCCCATAAAGAATACTATTATTACACTATTAACGCGACCCATTAAACTGTAGCGAGTAAAGACAACTGGCTATAAACCGACAGTAGCTAGTAAGCCTTGTTGCCCGTCTGCCACTGTCATATTTTTTTTTCCTTTCTTGCTTCTTTTTGCTCCTAGATTTCCCCCTCTTATATATCATACCCTCGCTGACAGAATTACTTCTTGTGCTTTGAGAAGGAGTATTCGCTGGACCGCGATGCCGGAGATTTTTTCGAACTACTCATGACACGTCCATTGCTGTTAGAAAATACCGGACGTTCCAGACTACCGCTGGAAGTTGCATCTAAAGAACCTTCTTCAGCCAAGGTGGGTGGCCTATTATCCAAATCGCCAAAATAATCCTTTTTGGAAAGCGGTGTAGTCTGTTTGGGGGACAACATTCCAGATGCTAAAAGATACGGTGAAGCAAAACCACCTGAACTAGAGGAGATCTGAGGGGTGGATGGTGCACGGTAATTCTTTGCCAGGGTATCCACGCTAAGCCGTGGCTGCGTACCGCCAGGTGTAGATGATGATATTGTCGTTTCGTCTATTGAACCAACAATCGGCGATGCCTCCTCTGAAGTAGCACTGTCATTGAGCAAAGTTGTGGAAGTGGTAAAATCAGCGGAATAATCACCATCACGGAAAATTCCCCTCGCACGCAATTCCTCATCCTTCAATTTAGTTTCCTCGCGGGCCTTTGCCAACAACTCTTGCGCCTTCGCTAAAGAAACTGTAGGTGTATTGCAACTGCTCACAGGAGGAACAGAGTCATCGATATCAATCGTGGCCGTCATCAATGCTTTCAACCATTTACGCATTTCATCAGCAGTCTCAACAACAAAGTAATGGGTTTTAGGTTGTGTAAAGGTCAATCCCTTCTTAAATCCAGGAGCTGGCGGAACAAGTTTGAAACAGTATCGACCGTATCCAGTCAGAGCAGCATAAAGTGCAATATACTTATCATTAGTACCAGTGCTATCGCCCTCGGAGCTAATAGGAACAACCTTATGAGCCGTGATATCAATTAAGCCCTTTTCACGCTTATCACGTAAAGATGCAAAGTATGACAACCGCGTGCCGTGCAAAGTGAAGTAGCGGGACCTCCAACCAATAGTACTGCCTGATTTTTTGGCCATCCAGCCGCTATGGTTCGCGGTTTTTATAGCATCATCAGGATTGATTTCCCGAATCCCCTCTTGGAATGCCGAAGTCTTCAGTTTCCTCAGCCCAGTAAGACTGCGGAAATTGTGAGTGGACACAGAACGCAAAGTCTTTAATCTGCTCACATCTTTTTTACCTGATTTTACTTCTGGTTTTTCTTTCTTTGGGGAAAGGCCAACGTCATCGATATCAACAGTCATTTCTGGCGAAAAGTGGGAGCTGCGGAGAGGGGACGAAGGTGAGTCCTTGGCATGTGGTGACTTGTACAAGTTGTGACTCTTAAATTTTTCCTTCTCCTCTTCGTTGTTGCCTGACAAGAACAGAAACACCGATGAGTGCCTTTTATGCGAGGCGTTGGAGCCCTGCCTTTGATGTGCCACAACCGAAGTATCGTAGATAGATGAAGCAGGCCGCAGAAGCCCAGGACCATTATTCAAGGCGGCTGAAGAGGCACTCGTGCGTGTCATATAAAAGTTCAGACCATTAAAGTTTGACAGAGGAGTGACTGGGCTTCCACCAAATTTGAAGTTCTTGTTCATAGGACTAGCTGTGGGAGGCTCAGGGGCTTTTCGTGGAGACAAAAAGGATGATGATGATGGGCTCTCAACTCTATGTTTAGGAGTGCCGTAGCTCAATATGTTTTCCATCGATTGCGATCTTGTCCTTTGATGCGAAAAGGATCTTCCTGATGCAGCCGATAGTTCTCTCGTATGACCTATCGGATTCGAACTACCACGATTACCAGGAATATTCACCGAAGGAAGAAGCTGAGTAGGTTCTGGTGACTTGTCCTCATCGGAATTATTGAATGGAAGCGGCGCCAGCAGGATGAACGTAGAGTTTCTCTTGTTTTTGTCTGCATTGGAACTAGCAGTTCTGTTAAACTTTGTCAGGGATGACTTAGCACGATTCGCAATCTGTTTTAGCTTTTCAATCTCCTTGTACACTTCAAAACGAGTACCAAAAGAGTCGATTTCTAATTCCTTTAAATGTGCCAAGTCAAGCTCAAACAAAATGTCTCCCGTGATCTTGTGACGGGCAAACTTGCCAGCCACATCCATATCAAAACCCAAAACAATAGCAAAGTACGACGAGACTTGCTTTGGTGTCCATTCTGTGGCCTTGAGCGGATTTAGATCCTGGGTTAAAGACAGCGCAGATGGGTTGCGCAGATGACCCTTTGACGGGTCAAGCGAAGACAGACGAAGTTCCTGTAAAGCTTTATCGATTTCATCAATAGCGGAATTCACCTCGTCCTTTTGTGGCTTGGCCGTAGATTGGGTGGCTTTTGGAAACTGCATTTGGGTCGTTTTCGGTGTCTCGGCTTTGTTGCTTGATGTGTCATTTTTCTTACTCTTAGGAGCATTTGGTAACCGGCGGGAGCGCGAGCGTAAAAGAGATGGGTCGGATGTATCAGATTCAACAACTCGAGTGAAGGATTTTGGGAACAAGCCAACCTTATTGTCGGAGAACTTTCTGCCCATATACCAGCCATCGTTATATTCCGAGTCGTCAGCAAGAACCTCAATTTTATCGCCGACTTTGAGAGTCAACTCATCGCCCAAACGAGCGTTGAACTGCTTGATACAGACAAATACGGTTTCGAAAGATTTGGACATGTTTCTGGGATGTAACGCACCGTTCAGCAGAACAGTTTAAGTTCAGGGAAAAGGACCAAAATGGATATAGGAAAGATGAGAAATGAATAACGATCAATAAGCAAGCTCTTTGGCAACGGATTCAGCGCACCTAGACTAAGATTATTGATGGTTTGTGTGGTTTCACAAGGAAATGTCTGGCACTGCGGGATGCGATAAACACAGAAACGAGATACAAGCTGGGAGAAGTTAAGAATCAAAACACGTAATGGGAAGAAGGAAAAAATAATTAGATTGTCGATATCGAAGGAGCGGCTAACTTTCTGATGAGCGTTGAAAGGTTGAAAAGACCTTGGTTTCTAAATGATGTGACGTGAAGACAAAAAAACGCCCTCTAATGCGCGTGACTGCAGATAGTCGCCTCTCTTTGCCTGGCTCCGATGGTGGTCCTAGATGTTCTGCACAAACCCGTTTAACGGAATGTGTCGCATAATTCAAGGGATTGAAAATTATGAATAAAAGAGAATGTTTCGTATTTACTACAAGAGAGAAATGAAAACGAATACAAGATGAGTGTTTTCATACGTGTAGAGAGCAAATTCGGTCTCCGTTTGAGGAAGCGCTGGCTTGGCCAGACTGGGATGGAATGAGGCTGTGTACAGTATGAAGAGATTTTAGACCGCGCGTAGTCTCATGGTGTTAAGGTTTCCGTTGACAGATTGATCAGGCTAGATTGAGTACAATACCGACGGCTTTGTTTGACGTTTTAAAAATGGATTTCGGTTTCATGAGGTCCAATCTTTTCATTTAGGATTAAATTCAGCCAAGCTACTTCTGCTTGATTGATTTCTTGCTTGTTGTCCCTGTATCTCCTTACAGCTTTAGACACCCTAGACTTAGGTTAATTAAATTTCTGATGTAATCTATAGGCATTTCCATCGTTTACAAAGTTTCAGCTCAATCAATAAATGCAGCTAAATATAAAATTTTGATGTCTTCCGACGCCGCGGTTTGATAGTAATTTAGTTCGTTGTACATATGACGTGTGTCGCATCCGTTCGCATTAACTAGTACCCATAGAGTTCGCAGACCGTTGGATAAAATAAACATCATTATCATCACCTTATCAACTTTCTGGTAATCATGATATTTTCTTAGTTGTATAATACATGAATTACGGTCTTTGAAGTCAATCTGCGAACACACTCCCCACTTATTGCCTGATTTGAAGAAAGCGTAACTTAATCTAAGAATTTTTTTGTGTTGAGTAATATACTTGTCCTAGGGTCTCTTCAGTAATGAAAGGAGAAAGCCTTTCACTTTTTTTTTTTTTTTTTGAGATTGTACCAGTTCATTGCTAGGTGTCAAAGTTAATATTCATGGTCGAGGCCGAGCCTTAAAGTTATCTTTCTGGCCTATATGTATTACACTGAAAGTAAAAAGTAAGTCTTCACTGCGTATATTTGTCGTAACCAGCACTACAAACGGTAAGTGAAGTATGGATTTTTGTCACCCATTTCCATAAGAACCTCATCAGAATAAGAGTCGTAGACGCCGGTAGCCAAGTCTCTTCTCTTCTTCCTGTTAGAGAGCGAGTACCCGACTATGAGTGACATAATAAAAAATAAGCCCATCAAAACGAATCCCAACACAAGGGCATGGCCCAATTGGTAACGAGGAGAATCTTGCGTTCTGTAAAAGTTGGAAGCAAAAGCACCCAGGAAATTTCCGAAACCAATTTGGAACCCGATACCCACAGCCCTTTTGTAAGACCCTGACAAGTTGTTCGAGAACCAGATGATGGTCATTGGAATAGCTGGGTATATTCCTAAGGCAGCAATGTAAAGTCCAGCATAAACTGCGTGAGGATTCTTCCTTGGGTCGATAGCAAGTGCAATCGTGTATCCAACAGCCATGCACAAGAAATTGAAGATTAAGAATGGCGAGCGGTAACCATTGCGGTTTGACCAAAAAGCTTGAGCAATACTGAAAACAGCTGCCACAACATAAATAGGAGCAGACATGAGCTGTGCTTTGGTGGAGGTGTAGCCCAACGTACGAATGATAGTGGGCGTGAAGAGAGAAATAGCGTAAAGAGGAACACAAACTCCCCAGTAAACGCAAAGCATAGCATAGGAATGCCAATCTTTGAAAACAGCCCAGAAGTATTTTTTCTTGTGTTCATGATCCTCACCCAAGTAGCGTTCGGCCAATTTCTGCTCGCCCAAAGTCTCGCCAACATCGTTCTCATCCGTCTTGACAACCGAGCGCTGAGTTTCATTGCCCGAATGCTTTGTTCTCCAAACAGCAAATTTCCGTTCACGCTCGGTTAAAAAGTAACATTCCCCTGGATATTGTGGGAAATAAAAGAACGAAACGACTGCTACTACGAAAGTGAGCAAACCTTCCAAAATAAAGATCCATCTCCAGCCTTCATAGCCTCCTACTCCATCCATCTTGGAAATTGCTGCAGCTAAAACACCCGAAAAGGCACCAGCCATGGAAGCAGCACTAAAGAAAATGGCCTGGCGCACAAGCACTTCATTTTTCTTATAGTACATGGACAAGATGTAAGAAATTCCCGGGAAGAGAGATGCTTCAAAGAGTCCCAAAAGAGCACGTGTAGCCAAAAGCTGGTGGTAATTGCGAACGGTACCCATTAAGGTCATGACAATAGACCAAAGAACCATAGTTAAAGGAATAAATACGCGAGGCAGGACATGGTGCAAAATAGTGTTGCTAGGCACTTCCATCAGCGCATAAAAAATGAAGAAAATGGTCAAACACAAGTTGTATTCGTTACCACGAAGTTTCAAGTCTTCAGCAAGACCTTCAATTTTGGCGTTACCAATGTTTCCTCTGTCCAAGAATGACAAGAGGTAAAGAATAGTGAACAAGGGGATAATTCTGATGTCGATCTTGTGCCGCAACTTGGCTTCATCGATGTCGGAAAAATCTTCATCTGACTCTTGGGTCAAAGAGTCCACGTTTCTGGAGTCTTGGCTCACAGACTCTATGTGTTCAACATCTGGCTTCTCGTCTGAAGTGGTTTTCATTTGTGTTGATTATTTTACAAACTGAGGAGTTCTGCTGAGCTTTATATCTTATGGGCCCCACAAGTGTCAAAACGGAGTTCCCCACACCTCGCCGGTACAGGTCAATATCAGCAAGCGATAAGCGTGTCTTGGGCGGAGAGTAACGTGGGGGAAATAATGTGGGGCTGTTCTCATGTACAGAACAGTTGGGGCCTGAAAGTATGCGCAAAGGGGTAAAGTAGTGGCATTTTGAAGTTGTCATGTTTGTGTATCTGTCGATGTAATGCACGTCTCAATGTCGATTGATTGCAGATTTGGACAAATCACTTTGCTTGAATTTCTTACACATGTTAGTGCGATTTACTTGACGCAGGGCTTACCTTGGGGTAATTTGTTTTTACAGAGTATTAGAATACCGGGAGGGGTCCACCGGGCACCAAGTTTTTTCTTGATCTCCTGTGTGGTGATGCTTTGCTGTTCCGGTGGAGTCTTCAGAAATATTGCAATTATCCCAATTTTGTGTGTGTGGTTGCTTTCGGGTAGTTTTTCGCACCCAATACTGGGGTGCATGACTATCCTGTCCGGGGAAAGCTCCTCACCAAGAAAAAACGTGAACGCAATAACTTTGTCTTTTTTCCGCAAGAAGAATCTTGTCCGGCGCCACTTGATCTTGGCTCTTGTTTCTTATTGTCGGTAGCTACAGGCTTGCAAACGGGGATCTTTAGTTCTTTCAATTTCCAATTTTCGATTTTTTACCTCCATGATGCGATTTTTTTTAGCCCTCATTTGGTGTAAAGCGGAATTTGCTCACGGCTGTATGGAAGAATTTTTAAGTGGTTTCACCTGCAGAAAAGACTGGGCCAATGCCTTCCCCGCGCCCATAAACAGTAATATGTGGGGGAACTTCTGAACAGGACTCATAGTCATTATCTACCTGTCTGCGAGACGGGTAATATTCTGATGTCTGGGCGTAGGCGTGCATACGCCTTGACGTGGCTTAGGGGTATGTTGTTTGTTTTCCGAGTTGTCAGATGGCTTTTCCAAATCTAACATTCTCGCTATAATTTGTAGATTTTGAGAAATCCACATCTGGCAAGCTTTTCAGCTCCCTTCTGTTCAATGAATAGCACATTGTGCGGCCCATCTTTTATTGTTTGAGTCCCCTTGTGCAGGCCGACAGGCTCACGTCCAGGTTATGGCGACATGAGTTACGGTAACAAGGAGAAAGCAAATGTGGGGAAGTCCCTGAGGGGTGGTGTTTTTTACTCTACCAAATGGTGATTATCACGAAGATTTTACTCGTTGAGCTGAAGAATACGAATCTCCGCAAGAGATGCAGCAAAAATTACACGGCGGCTTTTTTTCGTCTGAAGGATGTCAACAAAATTGTAAATGTGGTCCAGTGTGCGAAAAACGTCTTCTATCTTGCATTCGAGAAGTGAAGGAGAGATTTTTTCTGATAGAGAGAAAGAAAAAGAAAAGTCATGGATTATTTTGGGCTCCCCGGAGGAATCTCCTCAAATCCACCTCGGGGAATTGCAGCTTACTTTCCTACTCAATATTTTTGAGCCTGTCCATCAAAATAAAAAAAAAAAAAAGATGGTACGTGTACTGTTATTTTTTTGACGTAAGCCTGGCTCTATGATATCTTACATGTTGCTATATCCGAGACAAATTTAGGTGGGTAGAATAGCATAGCCTTATCCGAGACATTTTTGTCCCTGATATCCGAATGATGGCAAATGCACAAAATGAACCCGGAAAAAGAAAATTGCTCAGGATGTTCAAAACGCTTCCCCAACTTTTCTCCTAGGAGGAGAAAGGTGTCATTCGATCCTTCAAAAATTTCTAGTTAATTCTCTAAGTATTGGGAGTTTGGCACATTTCGAAGAAAGCGTTAAGAAAAAATCCTCTTTTCCAATTGTTTTAGGGATTATCATCAATTGTTCGGAGGTGTACGTCCGTGTGGAGACGTTTCAGAGCAAGTGACCTGATTGCTCAAACCATTGCTTCAATATCAACCATGGGGCTGAAAATTTCAATATAATCGGTCCGCTAGAACACTTGATATGTCTCTCTTTGACGACATCCTCTTGACAGCCAGTGAATTGTGATGCATCTAATTGTTTATAGTCTCTATATCCTATTCGTCGAATGGAGCGAACACAACAACTAAGAACACAACTTATACGGTAAAAAAAATACCAACAACTAGTGGACGTCTGAGTTTGTATTTTTTTCTATCAATCCAGTTCCATAAACCCCAAAGTTTTCTCATGGCGACATCTACAAATTCGTTGACTTTCTCCAGACGAAAAAAAAAAATAAACCGCTGTGTAATTCTTGCTGCATTAATAATCTCTTATTCGTGTTCTTCAGCTCATAGAGTAAACGCTTCGTGATAATCACCAATCTGTAGAGTAAAATTAATCCAAAGGACTAGGTTGTTATTTTCGTATGGAATACATACCGACAGGTGGATAAACTGATTCCATTGAAAAAACAGAATGCAAATTGCTCTTTCTTTCTTCAATCTGCTATCAAGATTGGCCAATGCCCCTTATTTCTTGACCACTTGTACTGATGAGAAAACTTAACTGGGTGGACAAACTCAGATACACTCAGATAGTTCCCAACGATGTGGCTCCCAACGATGTGTTCAACTCAAATCTTTCTCGTTTGCTGGAATAAAATCCAGGATAGACAACGCATTACGAAGACATTGTAGTAACGACACAGAATCAATGTTGCTCCTTCTACTGTTTGTTGCTGTTTCTACCTTTCGTCACTCAAGGTGTGATTCATTTGAGTCTTGCGGCATCATTCAGATAACATCATTACCAAATAGATTGTTGGACTAGTAAGTAAAGTGCTCTCTTGAGTGTATTTTTCCCAGTAGATGAAGAGCTTTTACGAACCACTTGTTAAGTAGATAAATGATTTTACATGTCAAGTAGAACGAAACAGTATTAATTTTGATATCGACAAAAGCAAAGGTTTGCAACGTCCAGCTTTCTTGAGATGTACCATCACAATTTCTATTACTGTTTGTAAACCGCTGTATTGCCATCATTCACTTTTCGCCTATTGCCCTTTCGCTAATAATAGCTCCATGCGTAAAAAACCATACTGATAAGGCGCGCACAAAATGCATGCCATTCTTTTCAGTTACCTCAATCTTCATACCGCATCGTATTCCTAATTCCTATCCGACCTTTCGATAATACCCTGTCCCAACCTGTGACTCTGTTACTTTTTGCTCCTATAACTCTCCCAACCAACTGACACAAAACCGCCAGGCTCGTATAACGCACGCTCCATTCTACTACCCATAGTCCGTTCTACAGGGACATACTTTCCATGTCTGACAATATTCCCCGACCATCACAAACTCTTTTGGCACGGATGAACGAGTTGCTGGCCCGTGCTATCATGCTGCTTCCGCACCCAGAAATCCGCACCTCGCGCTTGCCTGCGCCGCTCCGCAACCTATCTGTGATACCAGACATTGACTTTGATCAGCACTGGAGTGATGATTCCGAAAGTGATCTGGACGAAAGTGACCATGACTGCAATCACGGCAATGAAAAAAGGTCCACTAGCGACAGCGATATGAATGAGGTTAGTGACGCTAGCGAAGATTGCCATGAGCTTCACTGCGAAATGGAGCATCAAGCGGGTGTGCCGTTGCGCCCTGACGCAGGAGCGCTTCGACGCCTGAACGCGTTAAGGAGGCGGCGACGCGGTGAAGATCGCACGCGCGAGCTTCACGCAGAGCTTGCTTCGGTGCGGGCTGTCATCAGGGCATCTGCGCGGTATGCGGGCGTACTGCCTCTTTTCGTGCACCACTCCCATGGGCCTGGCAACGCCCTTGATCGCATGGATCGGTTTCTCGAGAGCGTGCATGCCGGGCGTCTTTGGCCGAGAAAGCGTGGGAGAAAGCATCATCAACAGCCGCGCAAACGGCGGCGCCTCCAAGACAGAAAGCAGTCTGGACAAACAAGCGAAAGCGAGTGCAGTACTTCTCAAGACGAAGACCGTTCACCTTTTGTGCAACCAAACTATAGGGACAGGCAGAGGACAGTACTGGCTTCCGAATGTCCAAAGTCTTCACATGAATCCAAGTCTACAAAGCCGTTCAGAAGTGACATAGCTACGACAGAAAACTCAACAAGCTCGCTTGCGTTTCCGCACGGCGAGACACTTGGCCTTCATATGTTAGACTCAAGTGCACGCAAGCATATCTTACGAGGTCTCAGCTGTTCTTTTTGGCACAGTGGCCTGTCGTTTTCATTGCAAAAAGATGGCCTCTTACTCCGTATGGCACTTACCCAAGTTTCAAGCGGAGGTGTGGAGGGCTTGCTCTCTGGCCTCGCCCCAGAACTTCTTTCCTTCCTCTGTGCGCGCGAAAAGGCTGCTGCGCTCCAAGCTCTCTTGGCTGCAGTTTGTGCTAATCACAGTGGTTCATGCGATATTGGCTCCCTAAGCGTACCCTTTGCAGGCCACATTGTTGACTTTCACGACCATGACTTACGATTCTGTAATCTTTCTGATGTACCTTCTGCACGCAACGCTGATTTTGCCCGGCTTCAGTTGCGCGAGTGGCTGCGCATACGCCCTTTTCTAGGTCTTCGCCAGCTTTTTTTCCTCAAGTATCTTGAGTTCGCCGAGGCCAGTGTGCGCTCTCCTGAAAACGGATGTCCACATCTGCGGCAGTTTGCCCGCCTGTTTCGCGACCTGATGCTCGAGCTTGCTCGTGGCTCGGAATGCGATTTGTCGGCGTCTGCAATCCAATACCGCTCAGCACGGCCCCCTTTCGTTCAAGAATGGGACGCCAAACTTGGAGACAGAATTAGTGAGTATGCTTCTTGCGCTTCATGCTTACTTAATGTTCAGTTGAATTATATTCTTTTTGCAGTGAAGGTAGATGCAGCGGCCGGTGCCGACGCCATGTTCCGCAGACTCTTACCTTTAGCACCAGATTGTGAACGCAATGCGCTTTCGGCCCGGTGGGATGCGCTTCAAAACGAGAAGCTGCGTGCGCCCCGTCAGTGCGTATTAGTGTGCTCTCTCGACCGAAAGACCGGGCGTGTTGAGGCGCGCAACACTCGTGTTGCATTAGATCATTTCCACGCTTCTCCGTTTCGGCCTGAACCGGTTGGCAGCACTTTGGCAGGCCTGTATTGTCGTGGCGCACGCGATTGCTCAACTTTTGTGTAACAAGGTGTCGCTTTATCATCTCTGGGTTATTTTTGGTGGGCTATTCTCGTGGCAGATATTGCATTTTAAGTAGACTAAAGGGATCCAAGTACGCATCTAATATGGGCAACGTTGCGTGGAAATAAAATCTTCAAATGTACGCTCATCATTATCATATCCCTTAGTGCATTGTCGAATGGATGCCACATTGCGAACAACGACATTAATTTGCTAATCATACTGGATAAATCCTCTCTTTAGGATTAGTTTCTCTGTACTGTGTGGTAGGCAGTGGCAGTTTGTATCAGTCACATTTACTTTTCTCTCATTGGAATATATTGCCTTATTTAAGATATTGAAAAGAAATACAGTGGCAAAGCCACACTTCAGAGAATGTCTTACTATTGATCTTAGAAAATGACCTTTCATTGTATTTACAGTTCTGAAGCAACCTGTTTGTCTTGCTCTTTGCTCTCTGAAATGCCGCTGATTCATCGAAATCTTCTTGCAAAACACAGGTCCACAAAGTCACTTCATGTTTAAAGTATGTTTTGCTTTGTCCTACCATATCCCCCAACCCTTACGCCCTTCGCGTCTGTCTTGGCGACGCTTAGCAAAGAAGTCTTTGGAGCATTCACGGTAAGCATCGAAGAAGTCTTGACAAACAGACTTGTCCTTTTGGTTTCTTAAAACACAGCTGATAGAAGCCTGTCGACTCTCCTCACAAGGGTCATAGTATTTGGAAGCTTCTTTATTTGCCCATCTATATTTATGACGGTGGTTTTTGGGGTTGTCTGGGTAAAACTTAAAGTCGTCAACCGAGCCTTCTGTGAAGTTGATGTTCTCTTTATCTTTGACAACTTTGTCGCTCTCCAAATTCAGCGACACCGCTGATGAGTCGGCGCTTTTCTTGGGTATTTCTGTGGTCCCTTCACTCATGGGTAAAAGTGCTATGATTTCGCGCGCCAAATTCCTACTGTCCTTTATGTAGAGATGTATTGAATAATCTGCTATATCAATATCTGTTACCGTACTCTTGGTTACCGTATTGGTTGCCATATCCTTGGTTTCCATAGTTTTGATTGCCGTAACCCTGGTTTCCATATTCTTGGTTAACATATTCCTGGTTATTTTGTCTTTCACCATAACCACCCCGTTCATTGCCAAACTCGTTTCCGGAACTACGGCCATATTCGTTTCTGCCGTAATCATTTCTTCCATAGTCGTTTCTGCCGGCATCATTTCTCTCGTACTCATTCCTGTTGTACTCATTTCTGCCGTACTCGTTTCTACCAACTTCGTTTCTGCCGTACTCATTTTTCTCGTAATCATTTCTTCCTTCGTTTGCGCCAAACTCACTTCTGCCATAATCATTCCTGCCTTCGTTTCTTCCTCCATAGCCTTCACCTTCATATTCGTTTCTTCTCTCGTACTCGTTTCTTCTCTCATACTCGTTCTTTCTGTCGTAGTCGTTATGGTGTCTACCCTCATGCTTCTCGTGTTCCTCGAATTTGTCTTCCACTTTGTTAGCGGCAATTGCACCAAGCAATCCTCCTGCTATCTTTCCGAGGGTTGAGTGGTGGCCCGAAACCTTTGAACCTCCATATGCTCCTGCTGCACCGCCAACTACTGTGGAAATAAAACCTCTTTCACCTTGCTCACCTGTTTGTTGGTGCTCGTTTTCTTGATAGTCAGATCTCGTGCCTTGTGGTCCAGAGGAGTAGAATTCGTTAGCGGACATTTTCCTTGTTTTTTCGTAACTAGTTGATAATCGCAAATTAAGGTGCTTTGCCCGTGGTATAGGAGGTCCCTTCTCCGCAGGAGTGTGACGATTCCATGCAGAAATGACAGTGTCCTGTTCTTTTTTTAAACATGACACGTCAACCGGGTAAACTAGTGCACAAAAGCATAGGTCACTGATTTGAGCTCAATGAATCTGCTTTTCTTAGTCAAAAAGCTTTCGATACACCAACTTAAAAATCTCGATCCCTTTAGTTATTTTATATTATCGGCTCTTGCCTTCCTACCTGATCCTGTATGGGTCTTCAGAGGTATGTCCGCACCAATAAAGATATGCTTTCCTAATGGTTCGAATCAATAAGGGATACAGATGATATTTCCCAAGGTTTCATGGTTTGAACGTTGAATCAATAGCTTCACTCGCTGAATTGAAAGCTACTTGTTTCTACTCAAAGATTTTTCTCAATAGCTTTGGTAATGGCTTTCAGCTCGTATTTTCGAGTAAATCGATGTGTATTTGGCATTTTGATAGCAATACTGAGATTAAGCAGTTAAGCATACTTTTCTTGTTCCATATGATCGAATCCTCAGAGGCTATCGTTGCTGTCAACGCCATCGGCTGGAGACCATAGAATCACATACAGTGCTGCATATGCACGTCAGTATTCTCTACGATTGATGAGGAACATGAATCTTGCGAACATACAGAGATACACGTCTCCCTGTCTCTTCTAGGAACATCAGTCTTGGTGTAGATACATGTACATAAGAACCCTTACTTCTCTAGGATGGTTTCCTCTCTAAGGATCATCCCCATCCCGATATATCAAACCTAACTGGACCTCGCATATCAAATTTCCAACCCATCTACCTCTGCTAGAGACATTTACCCAATTACTCCCTGACTTCTTTTTGGAGACTTCAGTAGAATGATCTCTGATTCACCTGGAAGAAGAAATGGCTATGTATAGAGCGGAGATCTACATCACAATAAATTATCCTGTATAGGTAGCGCATGATTTTGATCCGGTGTAGTGACATCCTCATCGCCTATCGACTTCGTAATCTGCGCCGTTTCAAACAACATGTCTGATCCAGTTCAGTTTCTTCAAGATTCGCAATATAAATGCCAGCGCTGCGATAATGAGAGTGCAGTTCTTATAGCAAGAAAAGAAAAGTTTTGTGCGGGATGTTTTGTGTTTTTCATGAAGGGTAAGCAGAGAAAACTGATGCTCGATGAAAGATATAAGGTGAAATATGGCGCTGTGGCAGAGAGGCTCGGAACCCAAAAAGTATTGCTTCCGCTTTCTTTTGGTATTTCATCGCTTGTACTTCTTGACATGATTGCATCTTTATTGCAGGAACAAAATTTGGCTCATAAAGGAAAACAAGGTTTTGAGTTGATGGTGATGTGCATAGAGGAGGAGGAAAATGCCACGAAGATAGCCCTTCTTGATAAGCTTCTTGCCAGTTATTCTCCTGTCAAAATAGATTACAAAGTTGTGACATTGGATTCCTATATTGTCGATCCACTCATGCGGCTTCGGGTTTCGGAAACTTTTGCTGTGATAGGAAAAACAGCTCCAGAAGAAACTCTCACTATTCCCCAGCTTCTTGAACATGCAAGCACGCGTTCGCTGCGAGCTGACCTTCTTTCTATCATCAGATCAGAGCTTATTTTCCATACCGCCCATGCCGAACAATGTCAAACCATTTTGTTTGGCCATAGCATGACTCGTTTGGCCAACGAGGTCATTTCTCTAACAGTGAAAGGCCGGGGGCTGGAAATTCATACGTCTGTGGTTGATAGAACGGCTTCCTATGCTGGCAAGGATATTCATATTATCTTCCCATTACGAGATATTTTGTTTGCTGAAATATCGGCTGTCATGAAGCTTAGCAGTCATTTGGCTGAGTATGTTGTTATCAAGGAGCATAAAAGCTTTCTTGTGAAGAACATGACAGTAGAAGCACTTGTGGGGCAATACTTCAGCAATCTAGATGCTACTGGATACGCTTCAACAGCATCCACCGTGGTAAAAACAGCAGAAAAATTGGGGGCTCCAAAAGCATCTGTAACTGCTGTTTGTCGTGTCTGCGGTGCGGAAATACACCAAGACCCTCGCCAGTGGGTCAATGAAATCACAGTAAGCAAGGGCTCCCCATTAACTACTGAGGAAGAAAAGGCCTATGCTAAGCAATATTCTGACGCTATGGATGAAGACGCTAGTGGCGAGATAATTTCTGCATGTTATGGATGCACAGTTACCTTGATCGGTGCGGGTGACGGTTTTACATGGCCCGTCCGGGCGACAAAGCAGGAGATTTTGGATGAGTATGTGTTGGAATGAGTGAGGACGTCAAAACATTTGAGAGCGGTTCATGTGCATAGATTATGGTTTAGGTGCTACAACAATACAACGTTGATGGTGAGACAACGAAATGTAACAGCGCTAATTGAGCTGGCGTGGTTCTTTTGTATAACGTTTTTTGTATCATTACCGGTTTCGTGGACTGTTTCAATTTGTAAGGTGGACACATTTATATATGCCAGATACACCTACTCGGAAAAGCAGAAAAAACCGATCTTCAGAATATTTCGAAGACAGCAAATATGAGAAGTCTAAACTTGCGATTAAAATATAGATATCGGTTTGTGGGTCTTATTGATGTCATAAATCGAACTTACAACCGGATGTAGGATATTAAACTAGGAAGATAATGTACGAAGTTGATGTCAGAGGACCCTATGCAATGCGCGCAGAACATCTGTTATAAGCTCACACACTGTTGTACTTATTTGCTCAAGGTCTTACATATCAATTTCTTGGTCATTTCTTCGTTGAAGCAAGGTTGAAACAATTTCATCCAAGCATTTCCTTCATCCTCCTACTATTGACTACAACTTTGCGCAGCCCCTCATGTACTCGGCCTTTACTCTGGACGCATACCAGCTTTGGAGACCGCGTTCGCCCAATGTGCCTAGAATCCACGATGATTCTTCAGGTCACCTTCGGACTAGACCTCCACAATCAGAACCGCATCCTTTTGCGCCACCCCTAGCTGCATATTTAGCCGATGAATGCGGTCCCAACTCCGCGTATACGGATCATAACGCCGCCATGGAACAAGCATACCTATCTGGGGCAAGCGATATACCGCTCCTTGGCCCCACAACACTGCAAAGACTCGATAAACTTCGCAAGATTCGTGCGACAGGATACACTACGATCGTACCGATTGGCATCGGCCGCACGATGGCACAGATGGACCAGGAGGCAGGCGAAGAGGCAGAAAACTTGCTGGCATGTGAACGATCCCATGCGCTGCCTGTGGAGCCGATTGACAATGCTGAATCAGATCTCGAAGAGCTGGGAGACCTATCTGGCTTGGACAGTCTAATGGCGGCTGACTTGGATGCTGATGTTGTTGATGCAGATGAGGCAGATGTATTTTCCAGCGGGGGTCTGACCCCTGACGCGTTCATGGCAGCCGATGTTGAGTATCAGGCAGACCACAGCTTGGATGAGGTGGAGAGAGTTCCTACTTTGCCTACTACGGTCAGTGCGGGACGACGCTGCGATGATTCAGATGTCGACATGACCTTTGACTAGGTTCTTTCAGCATTTGAGTCCGTATAATATCTTGCCTTATATCTGATATGATTTTGGTTAGTCAACTGATCGAGACTTTGGATAATGTGATATCTTTGTGTCCCTCGCGTGACGTTTCATATGAACTACTGACAGATCACTTTGAGGTAAGTGAAAATGTTTTTGGTGCTTGAACAAGTTGTTGTACCAAGTTGCAGCCACAATTATTCTGGCTCTTTTGGATCGTCACATGTTGCGAGTTTTAAAGTTGCACCTATACTTCTGAGCATACTGATCTACTTATTTTGGTCGTCTATATTCTCCATTATCTGTCGCTCATGAACGTGTTAACTGCCTATATTTTTTGACGTGTTCATTGCTGTTGTCAAACCTCTACCGACCTTTCTTCTTCTAATGCTGGTCATAACATGAAGTTCACTCTCTAACACCTGAAGGAGTGGATCTCTTTTATATTTCTAGAATGCAATCACTTCATAGCATCTACCTTCGCCAGTTGTAAATGCAAAGCAGGGATCATCCACTTTCCACACGAGCAACGCGAACCTTTCCAGCTGTACCCACCTACCTTCGCCTCGCACTTAGGACAAGCAAACTTCCCTTCGAGCTCTTGCTTTCCCAATTCGGCGGCCATCCACTCAACTGGTTCGCCCACAAAATAATGCGAACAACTCTTAGCGGCGTCCTCCAGTGACACGATCCGCCGGGAGTTGGGGACACGCTTTATGAATTTCGCCTGGCGAGAGTCCTCTTCTGGGATGTCATGCTCTTCTATTTCCGTCAGTGTCGCAAGCGTCTGCCGACATTTCTTACAACGAAGGCGAAACTCCGCCGGCCCCTGTGTTTTCTTCGACTTGAAAAGTCCAAGTTGTTGCAACTGACGACCTGATGGGTCCAACTTCAAGCTATTACTGACAAGAAACTCACGGTACTCATGAGCAGACTCGTCTACTGTGCATCCCATCTTTTTGTATAGCTCAAGCTGGCTAGTAAAGCCTGGGTTCGGTTGGGCGTCGGCTATTTTCCTTGTCACAGCATGCAACGCCTGGGCGTATGAGAGATTGTACTTTTTCATCAAAAATGCAATCACGATGGCCACAGACCTCGACTTTCCTTGTGCGCAATGCACCAAAACCGAACCATGATGCTTTTTATCTGCGGGGTCTGTGCCAGGTGGGAAAAGTGCACTCTCAATGAAATCCGTGGCACGTGGAAACTGTTCTATTATATTTGATGTTTCTTCGTCTGTTACCTCAATCTGAAGATGCTTGTATTGCGAAGAGCAGTACAGAGGCAAAGGCCCAGGAACAACGGAAATTATGTGTGTGATGCCATATTCCGTCTTAAAGTCTGTACCTGCGTTCACAGGCTCGATGGACAGAATATATATTCCTCCTAGAATGCGCTGAGCCATCAGAGTATAAGATGATCCGAGATGAGGAATGGGATGTAGATGTGATGACATGCATATTGCGCGCTTCTACACCTGGAATGCAGGTGCGGCAGTCAAAACCTATGGTCAGTCTTCAAATCTAACTAGTATTACGAAACATAATTTCATTTCAAGCTATGAGTTTTCTAAAAAGAGGATTTAACACAATTCGTAACAGTAGAATTGAAGTGATTCCCTTTTATCATGTGTTTAATACTGCGTCTTTCATCCAGTTCCTTATTCGCTTTGCCCTTGACTTCTCAGCATATTTTAAATTCGCAATGCACTACATTGTGTATAATTCGGTTTTAAATTCGTAATCGTAACTTTGAGCTATGTACCCATTAGTAGAACTTACCTTTCTTGATGTTGGCAAGGTTCTCGCGTGCAATAGAGAAGGATGAACGACTGAAAATGTCATCAATCTCTTCCAATGTCTTGTCCTTCGTTTCTGGCATGAACAACATTTGGTAAATCAAACCAATAAAAGCAATACCTCCGTAGAAGCCCAAAGTCAAGCCGGTGTATGTGAATGCCTGCTTCATTTTGGCAAAGTTGTAAGTAACAGTGAATGACCATAAGTAGAGGAACGACGAACAGATAGTCATACCCAAAGATCTTGTCTTCAAATCAAAAGACTCAGATGGTACAACCCAAGTCAATGTGGAATAAGATCCGAAGAACAAAAAGTAAAGAATAAGACCAGACAAATAGACACCTTCTGCTGCTGCTTTGTGGGTGTGAGGGTTGAAACGATATCCAACACCAACAAGAACCAAACCAACGAAGAATCCAATGATGTTGTAACCCCACAATCTTCTACCATATCTATCCATCCACAAAATGGCGGGAATAGTACCGATAAGCAATGAGCCACCACCAACAAGCGACATGAAAACAGAGTTCTTCTCATTGAATCCAATAGCACCCATCAATGTAGACATATAATACATGACAGCGTTGACACCAGTCAACTGACCCAAAGTAACCATAATCACTGCGTAGTTAAGAGCTCTTCTGTTTCTCGCAATGGTGAACAAATCGACCCAGCTGCTGAATTTGGATTCATGCGCACGTCTGTCATGCTCTTCGTATGCAGCTTGTCTCATTTCCAAGAACTCAAGTTTGGCTTTGTCGTCCAGGATATCTCTCAATCTCTTCCAAACTTTGTAAGCCATGCCATATTTACCCTTATGAACCAACCAACGAGGGGATTCTGGCAAGAAGAACAAACCAATGAACAAAGCTGTTGAGAAAACCAAAGAAGAACCAACCATAAATCTCCAACCACCCTTGACACTGTTAAACATAGCAGCGACAGCATAACCGAGAACTTCACCCAAGGGCAATGTTGAATTGATACATTTGAAACGATACTTCCTCTGACATTAGCTGGGAACAGACTCGGAAAATGTAAATACCATCGCATCCTACCTTTCAATGTCAACTCTCAACACCAAGTATTATTCTACCCGCATACATCCATATGGTGTGAGTGGCGAACCATCCCATTATACTAGCCTCCAATGTATACTTGTATCCAGGAAATTATCAAGGCTGGCTTTTCTTCCAAAAATTCC